AAGTTAAATAAAATAACTTTATAAAAAAAAAGATGCTACCTTAGGGGTTTGTCCCATGGTCTAGTTGTTAAGGGAGCTACACCCCACATGGTTGACTCTGGTTTGAATTCCAGCACCAGTGGCTTGAAAAACATGATAGGTGCATGTTTGTATGTTTGTGCATGCCCCAAATCCTGACAGGATGGAGAAATGAAGGAGAAAGAATTGCAGCATGACCAGTCCCATGGGGGGCAAGGATTCCTCTTCTCTCTCCCTACCTCTCTGTCTTCCTCTGGTTAAGCACAGGCACTCTCTGGCAATAATAATAATAGTAATTAGGGCCTAATTTCTTTCTTTCTTTCTTTTTTAAATTTGCTAAGGGGCATATGTGCTCACTGAAGAGAATGAGGAGGGTGGATGGATTGAGAAAGCACCCCTATGGGGAATGGTCATATTGCCATCCCTTCTCCTCCACTTCTCCCTCCTTTTGAGATTTTGGGCATGAACATAAATGCACCTGGTGTGTTTCCTAAGCTGCCAGGTCCAGGTCTCGAACTGCACAGTGGCCCTGTGAGATCCTGCCACCTTAACTTCTACACTACCAGCTAGCCTGGTCCTGACTTTTTATATCCGGTTAGTATAAAATCTGTTCCTGGCACGATGGCTTACACTCTAAAACACTGTGCCTTGCAGGCTAGGACCACATAACCTAAAGGCCAAGCACAGTGGGGTACACCTGTAATCCCAGTGACTTAGAAGCCTGACCTAGGAAGATCTAGTGGTCAAGGCTGGCCTGGGCAACACAGTGGGATCCTGTCTTAGAAAAATAGTCAAATGCAATGGCATGGGCATATAGTCCTAGGGCCAGGGAGGTGTGGGTAGGAGGATTGTCATAGAGTGAGAGTCTATTTAGAGAAAAAAAAAAAAAAGAGGGCCATCCTATGGCGTGGTGGTTAAGGAGGTTGGATCCCACATGGCTGACTATGCAGTTCTAGTCCTGGACCTAGAAGATTGAGAAACACATGGCACATGTGCATGCATGCCCATAATCCTGACAGGATAGAGAATTGAAGAAGGGATTGCAATGTGACCACACCCCATTGTGGGTGGAGGGGCTTTCTCCCTCTCCCTTTCTCTGTCTTTCTGTCTCTCTCTGGCAAGTATACATACCAACCAGCTCATTTAAAACAAAGAAAAGCTGCTTGGGTTATATTGTAGGGAGCCATCAACACTAAACTAAAAGAATTTCAGTTTCATCCCACTGGCAATTAGAAACCTCTCAAAAATTTTTAGTAGAAAAAGTAATATGTAGGGAACCAGCAGTTAGCGTAATGGCTATGTCACTGGACTCCCACATAGTCGACCGCGGTTCGCGTCCCGGACCTGGTGGCTTAAAACTCACGCCGGGTGCGTGTGCATGCGTGCCCAAGATCCCAAGAGGAGAATAGAGTAAAAGGGAGTGCAGCGTGACCATTTCCCCTGGGGGGTGATTTCTCACTTTCTGTCTCTATGTCTCTCTCTGTCTGTCTGGCGAGTGCACGCACCCTATAGCGAAAAAAAAAAAAAACTCTTCAAAAAAAAAAAGAAAAAGTAATATGTAAATTAAGCTTCATGAAGATCCATCTGGGGGGCCGACAGATGGCATGGTGGTTAAGGGCGCTGGACTCCCACATGGCCAACTGCAGTTCAAGTCCTGGACCTGGCAATTTGCTTTCTCACTTTCTCTCTCACTCTCCCTCTGTCCCTCTCTGGTCAAATTAAAATAAATAAATAAATAAAGTTAAAATAAAATAATTCTTTAAAAATAATCCATCTGGTAACCATAATTATCAGAGGCAAGAACAGCTAGGAAAATATTGTTATACCCTGTAGAAGAGATAATGAGGGCTGAAAAATTAGAGGAGATACTCTGAGAATAGACGAAAGGTGGGCGATATGAGAGTACTACATACTAATTAGTATTACATGCTAATTATAAATGTATACATATACATATACACATATACAAGGTCATTTTTATGTACATACACATGTAGTATAATTAGCAAGGCAAGAGAGAAGTCCAAGTTGATGCCAACCTTATGGATGTATGTTGAGAATTAAATGTTATGGAGCCAGCAGGTGGCATGGTGGTTAAGGGCTCTGGATTCCCACATGGCAAATGTGGTTCAAGTCCCAGACCTGGTGGCTTGCTTTCTCACTTTCCCCTTCTCTCTCTCTCTATCCCTCTCTGGTCAAATTGAAATAAATAAATTAAATAAATAAAGTTCAATTAAAAAAGAAAACAATGGAGATTAGGATCAAGTACAAAGTTCAACAGCAGGAAAGACTGTTGATCTTTATAAAGGATAGTTTATTCATACTTTCTTTTTCCATTTAAGAATTATTTTATTTACA